CACGCGAGTGGATCCACGCGAGACCCGGTTTACACACAACGAAAGGGGAAAAGAGGGTTAAGGAGAACGGGATGTGGAAGAAGAGAGTGGCGCTACGTCGAGCGAAAGTCATTAAAGTTTCGCACGTGCCACGGTGACGGTACGGCCAGCAACGACCCTAGGCCATTATTTTTTAACGGCCCCCCTGCAGCTACCTACTACCATCTCCCGACTACGTATACGCGTACGCACACCAGCCAGATTGGTGGTCTTCGACCCGCGGTTAAACCATGACTAATGAACGAGCCCATCAACCCGACCGACCCTTTGCCGCTGCTTTCATTGCGGTCAAAATTGCGCGAAAAAATAGTCTCGGATAGCGGTTTCCAACACGATAGCGAACGATTACGCTTCGATTACTCGGGCAATCGTTACGAGAGAACTTGCTCGATCGAATCGATTACAGAAATTCGGACGACGAGAAGAAAACGTTGAATCGAAGAGAAAAGAAAACTCGCGGTATCTATAGATTAATATCGCGCGCAAAATATTGGGCAAATTTGTCACGTTACAGTTCGTAATTGCAGTTTCCATCCAATTTAGGAAGAAATCTTTCCAAGAACGAAAAGGATATCGTGTTAAAACTCGCTACTTGAAAGATTACTAAAACAGAGGGAACGTGTCGTAAAAATACAAGACTCATTTTATCATCCTCGCCCAAGGTATGTCACCTCTCGTAATTTAACTTTTAATTAAACTAGCCGGTCGTTGGTGTTCCACGCGCACGGGTTTTCACGCGAACCTCGAATTTCTTTGACGAAAGCTGTCGCTGGAAATAGAGACGGCCGAGGAGAATTCTAAAAAATTATCCTACCGTGGAACGGTCACAATGTTCTCGGTCAGTCATGCGAATGTCCCCCGGTACCGCGACGCGTCGCGTTAGCCGAGCCTGCTGGGTGCACTCCAATTTCGTTGGGACAACACGTGTTTTCCTTCACTAAGGCAGTCCACGAAGAAAGAAAGAAAGAAAGAAAGAAGGAAAAAGAGAACGAACAAGAGAGAGAAACGGACGACGAGGAAACGGAAGCTGACAAGACAGAATGCAGGAAAGAAGAACAAATCTGACGGCGTTTCTCGGAGGTAATCGGGAAGGAAATTTTTCTTTCTCCTCTGCGCAAAAAGGTATGTATTTGCGCGAGAAATTGTGCCAAGATTAAATGATTCGCGAAACGAGAGATTCGTCGCTGGGTTTCACGGTCAATCGGGCGAATAACTGCCGAGACGCGTCTACAGAATGCTTCCTAATTAAATTCCGTTGCTTCTCCGTTCTTTCGGTTTTATTTGCGCGAGATGGGAAAATATTAGAGCATCGCGAATTTCGAAGAAATCGTCGCCACGTGTTGCATGCGAAAGGAAAATAATTCGTTGGAATAATCTGCAGATTCGAGGAGATTTAATTAAACGAGAAGAAGGAAGAGTTGTTCGGTCGCTGGTAAGCTCGAGGGAATACGGTAGATTAGCCGAATCGGATCAAAACGA